AATAAAAATCCTTCAGTCATCAGAACCCGGATTCATGCTCGAGAAGTCCCGTTTGAACGCTCACATCGGGTTTTTTTTTCGTTTGGGGAAAACTAAACTGGTCGCAATTTTCGAATAAGAATGAGTCGGCATTTTTAGTGGAGTCGAAAATTTGGAGGTAAATAAAACACCGAAACCCGGCAAATAATTAGAATTATTCCATTTCAATGAAACTTAGTACAAAGAATGCTCTAGGACAATGTACAAACCTAATTAGTTTGGGGTAAAAATCTGTTCATATTAATTCCCTAATAAGCATAATAATTCATAATTTTTTGATTCTAATCACATTTCAATTAAACTTGGAGACATAGATTTTCTGTTACATTGCGCAGACCTCATTAGTTTTACACTCAAATCTGGTCATATTAAGTTTCTGATTTGCATAATTAGTTTTCAGCTCAGTTATTTCGAATTATATTTAATGTGTCTCCAATACTCTCAGCACATGAAAGTTCTTTCTAAGCTTTCTTTGATTTTTGTCTATTTTTAGCTCCGCTGTCGACTTTGTCGAGCGGAGCTTATCATATGAGTGATTGTCCGTCGTCGTCCGTGTCAATGTTTTACTTTTTCGGCTTCTTCTTGAAAACTACAAGCCTGAATGCTTTGATACTTGGTGTATATGTACCTTGCGTAGACCTCTCTTAGGTTTGTTCATTTCATGATTGATATCTTCAATTCTCTAATTTTGATGAATATTTTTGTCGTTTTTGGTAAAAAGTGATATTTTCGACTTCTTGTTAAAAACCGCAAGTGCAATTGCTTTGATATTACATATATAGATACTACATATAGACCTCTCTCAGATTTGTTAATTTTGTAATGATATCTTTAATTCTCTAATTTTGGTGAATATTTTTGTCATTTTTGGTAAAAAGTGATATTTTCGACTTCTTGTTGAAAACCGCAAGTCCAATTGCTTTGATACTATTCATATTGTTCATTTTCTAATGATGTCTTCAGTTCTTTAATTGAAATGTGCATTGCTAACAGCGGAGCTATCTCAGCCAACTGGCTGCTTGTTTAATTATTTTATAGTGATCACTATAGTCTAATGTTTAGAATGTCAAAATTGTTCTTTTAATTTATTTTGAAAGTTTTACTCAGACAATCGATGGAATGAAACAGTGTAGTGACGTGTCTAGTAACCTGCTAAATAACGAGATAATTCCGACGTCAAATTATATTTTGTCCAGCAACAGTGTACAAACGTGCGCCGGTGACGATCACGGTGACGATCACGGTGACCAGCTACAACAGAACGAACATATTTCGCATCTAACTCGACCCCATGCAACAAAAATTGATACTATGTGTTATGATCCATTCTTCCTCGACGAACAAGTACATAAGTGACAATATAGTCAAATACGAGAAAACTGCACAAGAAATTTGCCTTATTTACACATGTCGGCTATGCAAGCTGCCATGCGACTTCCCCTTCTCACGTCACAAGGGAAATTTCTGTATGCAAATGAGAAACTAATGAGGAGCCTCATTTTAAAATACACAAAAAATAAAGTTTCCATAGACTGAGTTTAAAACACATTTTTTCACTTAAAAAAAATAATTCATGCTTAGAAACATAAAAATTAATAATATTTATGTATCAATTGATAATTTTAGGCGTGAAAATAGCAGCCATTTCACAGGCACTTTAATGTGTCTCCAATACTCTCAGCACATGGGAGTTCTTTCTAAGCTTTCTTTGATTAGTAATTCTGCTTTATTCACTTTCGCTAGGCTTTCAATTCTTGTTTTATTCCAAATTTTACTTCATATAACTGCAATGTATTGTAGTTTGTATTGATAATCCCTTGCATAATAATTGAGTTACTTCATCATGCGCAAACAGTTTTGCATTGTCTTGGAACTGCCTTAATGTGGCTGCTACTGAGATATTCAT